GCAATTATATTATATATATCACTCCGATGTCTAATTTATATTGCTTGCTATTGCTATCTTTCTTTACATACACACAAACTTTCTCTCTATTATATATATCTCTATACAGAGCCAGTCTTTAGTTATTAACCATATATTTTTATACTAATCTTTGATCCTCTATTCGCCTTGGTTTCTATCTAACAATCATCTATCATACGCGTGACGTTCAAGTTAAATATATCACAGATACCGTTATCATGAACAAAAAAACACTGAAATCTTCAAACTTACTCAACTAACACTCGACATGTCTAGATCTTAACACTTATCAGATGCAGACAGAGACGGAGGCTGTAAATATATCTGAGAATAGAATTAGAATTGACGTGATAATTCTAGATAGATTCAAAATTTAATCAATGCTGTAAGCTATAGTATAGTTATTTATTTATTTTATATGAAGTTTTGTCTTAATTTAAAAAGAACAACAGATCATACTGTGAAGTTTTACAGAGACAATACAATAAGTATGAATGTGTTAAAACATAAATACATAATACATAATCATATATACAGCTGCGTGCAAAAGTATTAGGCACCCCTATTGTTAGTCACTATCTCATTAGATAGCGGTCAAGTGTGTGTTTTATGGTTTAGCTATTGTATTAGCGGCAATTTTTAACCAAATTAAGAGAAAAGAAAATATTTATGACATCCCGGTGTGCTCCTAAGCGGTGTTTCTTCGAATTTGCTTTTTTTGCGTTTCGGGTTATAGTGTGTTATCAGTGCTTGCAGTGAACATACACGTCTTCTACGCAACTATTCCTATCACAATTCTAAAGACTAACATTTAACGTGTTAATCATGCCGAAAAAATCTGAACTTAGTGCTGAACAGCGTCTAAGAATTAAGATTTTACATGAACAAGGCATGTCTCAGGTTAAAATAGCCCGAGAAGTGAAGTGCTCGCGATGTGCAGTTCAATATGCTATAAATCGCTTCAAAGAGACTGGCACCCATGATAATAGACCAAGAACAGGCAGAAGAAAAGTTACTACTGAACGGGAAGATCGATTGTTGATTAGGCAGTCTCTACAAAACAGGAAAAAAACTGCTTTAGAGCTCGCTGCAGCATTATCTGAGGCAAAAGGCAGCTCAGTGAGTGTTTATACTGTGAGAAGAAGACGTCTTAAAGCTGGATTAAAAGGATGTAAAGCAAGGAAGAAGCCGTGGCTGTCAGAACACAATAAGAAAAATCGGTTGGAGTGGGCACTCAAACATAGAGATTGGTCAGTGGAAGATTGGTCCAACATACTGTGGTCAGACGAATCTAACTTTGAGGTATTGTTATTTATTTTATGTACAATATTAAAACACATAAATGTTTTTAAAATAACTTACTGCAAGAAAAATAATAACTTTGAAAATAAATGGGTTTTTTTCGTTTGGCATAGGTGTTTGGAACACCCGGTGTGACTTATGTTAGGCGAAGGATTGGCGAAGAATACAACCCAGAATGTGTGGTTCCCACTGTTAAGCATGGTGGAGGCTCAATAATGATCTGGGGCTGCATGGCTGCCGACGGAGTGGGCGAAATGGTGTTGTGTGAGGGACGAATGAATAGTGTTACATACACTGAAGTTCTGGAAACAGCACTAGCAACGTCGATAACGCAAATTTTCGGTGATACAAACACCGATGGCCTGAAATTTCAGCAAGACAACGCCACTTGCCACAAATCCGCGCATACCATGAAGTGGTTTGCTGAAAATCATATTGATCTTTTGGACTGGCCACCACAATCACCAGACCTCAACCCGATTGAGCATATTTGGTCCATTTTAAAGAAAAATATCCGCAGGCACTCGATTAGCAATAAACAAGCTCTATTGGCCGCGTTACAGCAGGAATGGAAAAATATATCAAGAGAAGAATGTTTCAGGCTGGTAGAGTCAATGCCAAAAAGAGTGGCTGCGGTTATTAAGTCAAAAGGTGGACCTACAAAATATTAATTATTTTCTTAAAATAAACCATTGTAATCATAAATGCAGTTTTATTTACACTCGCTATGCTAAAACACCCTAAAACTTGTCTTACTGTAGGGTGCCTAATACTTTTGCCCGTGGCTGTATTAACTGATAATATATGATAGCTTGTGTGTGTGCCAACCTACATTACATGTGCTATTTTTTAACAAGTGTTGTATTAAATTTATTTCGTGTAAATTATGTATGAGCTTATAAAGTAGTTATTAATTTTTTTTATTTATATATATGATAAAAGTCAGGTGTATAAGTTATAGTGTACGCACTTGTATTATTGTGTATCGGTCAATAAACGATTCGCGTACTTCAAGGTCATTTATTATCTCACAAAGACGACACATTTTCGGCAGATGATTTAATAAAGTTTATAGTTACGTTCAGTTGAGGATGTGAGAAATTTTAAATTTAATATTATGAATATATATAATATTGGGAAAGTCAAACAATTGAGAAATTTTGAATCTAATATTATGAATTATCTTTTATTTGGAGAGTCGAAGATTTTTTGAGTCAAAATTATTTATGTTGTTGTGTATTCCTCAATAGCATATATGTACATAGTTTAACGTCTTTATTAAGAGATATTGTTGATTAAAACTTAAGAAATACATATAAAAATAAAACAGTACATATATCGTTCGTTTAATTCTGATTTTCATAAGAAATAGCGATATATTTGTAGATCTTGATGTAAAATATGATAAAAAATTCCTTATTCTTTACATTCTTACAAATAATAGTAATGTTTTTAAAGAGCTGGTTGTGTTTCCATTGTAAACTATATCTATGTTATCTCTTATCATTAAATTCTATAAACAAATGCCATAGTTATAAGAAAACACGTGAAGTAGGGATGCTATCGAAAACCTAGCAGCCATCAACGTCAGGTGTCAAGATAGCGCCCCAAATATTATTGATGACTGTAACCTTATTGATAGTGCTCTGACAATATATATTACACATGTAAAAGAAGAGATTTAGCTTTTAAGACGATAAAAATATTATTATATTACGATTAAACTGGCAGTAATATAGTTTTAGACGTCAATTGTATGATCTTTAATATTTTTTAATGTCAATTTAAACTAATTTTACTGTACATTATTCTATGATAATTCTGAGTTATCAAATATTAGTTATTTGACGTGCTAAGTATATGTCAAGATAAATGTATCATAGCAAGAATTTTTCTTATTTTTATACATTTTTCGTATATATTAATACTTTCTTATTAATCATTTATAGTATTAAGAGTGAATGGAGTCGAGTAGGTCAAGAGACAATCCCTGATACCGTTCTTATACAATTATGAGATGTTTGCAATTTTAATCGTCCTGGTACATATATATATATATATATATATATATATATATATATGTATGTATATGTATATGTATATGTACTAATTACACTGAATTGTTTTCATCACAAACCACTCTATCTGGATATATTTATGACTCTCACTATTTGTTTATTTATGTTGCTGTGTTATCATATGTATTGCAAATATGATAAAAATCTCATACATAATGTATTTGAGTGATCTAATTATTGGATGCCTATGAATAGACTCACCAATTTCATGGTACCTATGAATATGTGTTATATTTTTTGTTAGGTGACTGTCAGCTAATGTTAGTAGGTAGTTATTATTTGGATTATTTGTATTATCATTAAAGATATCATTATCATCGGCTTGCGTACGTTGATGAGAGAACGTATCTCCTTATGTAATTGTGTGGTTTTTGTTGAATTATAAAATATTTGCCTAGAGCCGCGTCGTGTCTCATCTGTTAGTGGTTTAAACGTTTAAATTATTTAAGTCATCTCACTATTATATTCATGATGACCTTGTGACGCTGATAACAACATATTGTAAAGATAAATGTCATTTCTCAAAGTTTTTATGATTGATGTACAAAAATTACTATTGACAAGAATAATTGTATAACTCAATGCGCACTCGATTTTTTTGTTTGTCACACAACAACAATATAAGATGCTGAAAATAAAACAGGCAAAACCGAATGATTTGACTAACTTAAAAAACAATTATAGTATTAAATGTATTAAAGTTGAAGATTAAAATAGATTATGATGATAAAAATTTGTGTTTTTTGTTGTTTAAATAACTTAACCAGGAAGATGATTTTCCGTGATTATAGTATAAGTAAAAATAAATAAAACGTTTTTTAAAGATAAAAGGCTATTAACGGATAATATGTATATTAGTCAGGATAGTTAGTGTATATGTAAAATAATATAGTATGTTTCACTGACAGACATTACCTTGACAGTTTCATGATATATGCAATTTTAATTCTATACAATACAATTATATCATTATATTTTTTTCATAGTCATGATATCCATTTGATACTCTAGAAGCGCCTGTGTTTATACGTCAGTTAACTGAAAGATTTCCCCAAACATATCAATGTATACAGTCGGAGGTTTTTCATAAAGAGTACAGCATACGTTGTCTAAATGTTTGCTCTTGGTTCCATGTGGCGTGTTATCACTTTATCAACAGCTTCAGACTTGTCATGTATCATCATACATCATGAGGGAATCTTGACGTGACTGTGATTTGAGTCCAAAATGTGCCATTTTGATAACATCTGTCGCTGGGTTGTGTAACATTTTACGTAATTAGGAACTACCAGTCTGTCCTTCCTATAGTTTAATTATAAGTGCTAATTTCTACAGGTAATCTGAAGAGTCAATAAACAGTATTATATATTTGTAAGGCAAGTGATTAGTATATAGTGAAAGTGTTGTAACCAGTATTAATGAACCAAGTGATTTATGACTTAGAACACGATGTGTGATGAAGGGAGTTAGTAAGTGATAATGACAGTGAGGTGACCTTGGACATTGGCCGTCGGGCTGTAGTGTAAGATAGAAAGAAACATTCCTCTGTTAAAAATCCTAAGCCAGGGCCCGGCTGGAAACTGCAAGCGTGTCTGCAAAATGACCAAGGGCCCTCGGAAAGTGAAGCTAGTCATAGTAGTCAACAATAAAAAGGAGTAAGTAACATTTTATACGCATTAAAAATTAAATGAAAATGTGTCCAAAGTATTGTTACGTTGACGCACTTGTATTAAATCCCAATTATCTTATGTATAATTCGTTATCTTATTTGATTTCATATTTTTATCAGGTTTTTAGACAACGTGTTTTAATTCGGTTACTAGTATAACGAACACATTAAACAATAATCATTTTATAATAATAATAAAGTTTAAACACGATGTATCTAAATTGAATATTTAACTCAATATGAAGTTAAGAATTTTTTTCTCGTAATGCTAAATTTATCTCTAAGTAATAGTATATATTTTGAATAATAATTTCTTTGAATGCTGTGTTCTGTAGGGAACAAAAGTCCATGTACAATAAACGTCACACTGTAAGTAAATCGGGAGTACATAACAATAAAACTATTAAAAGCAAGACTACGTGTCCAAGTGTATATGCTTCTTGTTAGCTACGGCCGGATGCAAGCGATTTTCCATCTATTACCTCTAGCAATTAAGTCGATCTTTCGATAAAACATTAGCATATAATAATCGTTTTATTTACATTTTTTCATTCATAAATAATGTTATATAAGTCGTTGATAATAAACTTACAAAATACTTTAAATATTTTTCCATTATCGTCGTTTCGTTACCATTGTAACAGTTTGAGATTGTTCTCCTACTATGTATACTGTTTTATTTATTCGACCTTCAATAAGCAATGAAAGTGATTAGATTTCGTTCCGTCTTTCTGTCTTGTCTGTTATACGTCACTATACATTGTTAAACAAAACTACATTTCAGTTTTATGTATACAATTTAAACTCTGCTGCAAATCTATCTTTATATATATGTCTACCATTTATGTATATCAAATTAATAATAATAGGGCCCAGTATGTGACCCTTGGGGACACCCATTAATTCGTTTTAAGTAAACAAATGATAATTTCCATTGAATGTTCGTGAAACAGTTCCCATACCAACAATCAGCTAATGATGGTGATCGCAGCAGTGACTTTTGTATTTGACGCGGAAGCTTCAACTTCCTGTCATTATGATAATCACATCATCTCGTACATACCCGCTGGATCCGAAAATATTCATCTAAAGGAAGGCCGCGATACATCGAGAAACATCGAAGCTAATTTTATTCAGCAATACATCAATTTATATGGCTATTGTCTATCAAATGTATGGCTGTGGTTAAATATACAGGGTGACTGGTGAATTACTATCAATATTTAAGGAGAATACTCGGTACATGATTCTCATTCGAATTATGTAAAAAAAATAGGCACTTAATTTTTGACAAAATTTCCGTATAAATAAATAAAGTGTTGACACGTTCCAAGTGTTCTAAGTGTGGACGCGTGTGGCGGCGTGCTGATACAACAACACGCCGCCAAACGCGTATGTATGAGTGTGTGTGTATACCTAATCTGTAGGGTGTTCACTCGATGTGTAATTAATTACATAACTTTTGGTTAATTTTACTTAGAAGTTTATTAATATTTATGTTATATTAATTTTTATTTTGTCATATATGATCGTCAAATATCACGTCCTCAAGTATCGATAGTAATTCACCAGTCACCCTATATTTGTGGCTTAAAACGCCACGCTCTATTTCTCGTACAACCCAGCCACATACTTTCCCAGACCATTTAATCGTAATTAACCCGATAATGAGTTAGTGTCATGCGGGACACTTCAGAAGCTTCTGATGCTGATTCATTGATGTGGCGCGCTGGTTTTAATTATGATAGTTGGTTTTAGGCAGCGCGGCCTTCACGACTTGTTTATAAGTATTAAAGAATCAATGGATATTAAACAGACAAATCAACATTGATTGTGACCAATGATTTATACTACATAGAAGCTTAGAACTTTAATTGAAGCCAATCAAAACTTAAGATATCATATTAATTCTTATGCTGCTGTTCTTAAGACTCGTGGATGTATGATTTTTAAATCCTCAAGAGATCCGTCCTGTCTTCGCGTCATGCTAATTTCCTTAACGCTCAAATTGTGAGGACAATACAGACGCTGACGTCACAAGACGTCCATTCACAACAACGTACACACGGACAAAAACAACCTCATCTTTATACCTAGTTAATTATATATATGTATATATTTATATGTCAAAGTATATTTCAAGGTACTTTAATGCCTCCAATCTCAACGATAATCCATATCTAGATTAACATTAAATAATGATTGTATGTCATAAACATAAGACGTCCTCTAAACGAATCATTGTAATGAAGTCATTGTTAATGTACGTATGTATATATATTATATTATATAACGTTCCGAGTCCGTCTGTGCGTCTCTAATCTCTTGATAGCTGTGCGCTGCACAGTGCTGTGCCGCACAGTGGCAACCTTCACAGTAAATAGTCACGGCTCACGCTACTCCGGAGAATTCGCTGTGATTAAAAGCAGAATATAACGCTCCATCGCTATTGTGTAATTGCTGCGACTTCCTTCGTCAATTATATATCTAGTATTACGCGGAATGCCCATTCATAAATCTGCATGCTCATAATCAGCTGTGGATGCGCATGCGCATTTATTCAGTATTCGATTTTTAATAAGAATTGTTATGCCATTAGTATGTTTGAATTGAAAATATAGTTATGTTAGTGCCAGTACTTATATACGTACATATATGTTTTATTAGTTATTGCAATAATATAAAATAATTTAATGTTTTTTTAAATACAACTATATCATAATGTTTAAACTTGAACATAAGAATCCTCTATTGTTTCTCTCCTCACATATTTTAAGTCTATGAAGTTTATTACTAAAAACTTAAAACTGCTATAAAAGAATATGGAAATATGGTTGAATAACAGTTCCATACATATATGTAATATTTTTATAAATCCTGTTTGTATTATTATTCTATCATAATTTTTACATGCAATAATTATGAATTCTTAAATGATTCTTAAATATAATACTAGAATCAAAAATATAAATGTGTAGTTTTCACGTGACAAATGTATTTATATTGGAACATAATTGTCAATAGGATGAAATAAAATAATCTGTAAATCATATAATATATTTACGAGCCGCAATCTAGTTCGGGTTTCATTAAATACGCTGTCAAAGATAATCCGAAGAAACTTATCGTATTAAGGAATGTAGGAAAAAACCATCTATATATAAATATAAGATATATTGAAAATATTATATAGGTATTGATAAAATATAAATCATATAAATCAGTGGTTAAAGGCCCGCCTCTCATGCATGAGGGCGCGGGTTCGATTCTGGCAAGTACCAATGTGATTTTTCCGAATCATATGTATATACTTTCTAAGAGTATTTAGACACCACTGACAGACGGTGAAGGAAAACATCGTGAGGAAACCTGGAATTAAAATCTCGCAATTATAAGTTTGAAATCCCCAACCCGTCTTAAGCCAGCCTGGTGATTAATGCTCAAACCTTCTCCATAAGAGAAAGAGGCGTTTGCTCAGCAGTGGACTCTGATATGCTGAAAAAAATTGGTATTGAAACATAGTTTTTAATACAAAAATAATTTGCTCCTATAAGTACCACGTAAAGCAAGTCGGGGATTAAGATTAGTTTGTTGAATAATAATTTTGTAGATAATTGGATTAAATAAATTTAATTCAATATATTTATCGACTGATTATTGAATTATATTAATTAAAACTTTATGAATGCAAATAAAATTGTTAGAGTTTAACTAGTACCTAGGTTCTTCTTCTTCTACCGGGCAATTTCCCAGCTATAGCCAGGGTCTGCCTTACATGTTGTAAATAGTTTTTGGCTAATTGTTTTTACGACCGACCGCCTGCCTGACATCAACACTCTTTGGGAATGCATTAACCGGTGATGTCTAAATACTTTTAGAATGTACATATGACTCGGAAAAATCACATTGGTACTATATGTATGTTAACTATATAGTTAACTATAGTAGTTAAATATTAAATTTAAACTCTCCGATTTAACAGATCTGAAATTTGCGACATACTTTTTGTTTGAAAATTAACGAGTTTAATTAGTACATTCATCTCGTCTTTATAATAATTTTATTTACACAAATATCTAAATAATGTTGTATATATGTCGGATGCTGCAGTGATCTAGTCATGTATTTTTATCTCAATTTAAATGCATCTCTGACGTCACACGGAATAATTCTACTCTATTCAATTGCCTTGTTAAAACTGCACGTGCTTATAATTACAATAATCTGTAATAATATTTCAGTTTTGTTCACAATAATGAAGTGTGAAATGTTTCATTAGTACTTGTAAGCACTCACGTATATACTTATTATGTACTAGCTTTCCGCCCGCAGCTTCGCCGCGTGGAGTTCGGTTATATCGCGTTTCCAAGAGAACCTTTCAAAAGTCTGGGATAAAAACTATCCTATGTTCTTTCTCAAGGTCAACTCTATCTCTGTACCGAATTTCATTAAAATCAGTTCAGTGGTTTAGGCGTGAAAGCGTAGCAGACAGACAGACAGACAGACAGACAGACAGACAGAGTTACTTTCGCATTTATAATATTAGTAGGGATTGTCTTATATAAAATTTTAACTAATTTTTAATATTTGTAGTATATAATATTTGAGATGGAAAAACCTAAATCTATTAAGAATAAAGGGAATGGTTCTATTATTTAGTTATATGAAAGATGTGATAAGCTCCTATGGAAAATTAAATACAGAAATATTTAGAAAATATATAACGACTTGGAGTGTTTAACGCGCGTTAGATAGGGGTCCCTTAAACCTATACCTGTGTCACAAGTCCCAGTCACTGTTGAAGCTCCTCTCACTACAACGATGGACCCGACACACACGTTTCGTCAAGAGGTTTCGTCTCTCCGTTTGTGCTAAATGCAGTTCAATATACACTAATAACTCAAACATTATAAATATCATTTATATTCAATACAGTTTTATTTTATTTTTCTTCTATCTTTTAACCATGTCCTATTAAGTCTACAACGTTTTACTACTTCTGTAAGTTAAATTAATTTCAAAGAAAGCTTCTGTTTTCACTTTTTAAATTAAATTCGTTTCATCACCCTTCATTTCATCATCATCTTAGATTTTCTGAAATAATACACAATTTAGTGATATTTTACTATGTTCACTATTAATTCTATAACATTTTGATGATGAGTGTTGAATATTTTTTTTTTAAATAAAGATACATTCGTTAATTCTGTTAAACTATCGCCTGAAATCAAATATAATTTAACTTACTGAACACAGACTTTAAAAACAAGATAATTATAAAACAACTGAATATTGAAAGAAACATCTAATATTACTTTTAAAACACTACTTGTAATAAATATCCAATACAATTGTCATCGTAACTCAGTACACTACAATAAGTACAATGAAAATTTAAATATTTTCAAGCGACCTACATTTTCTAAGTCATTTAAATTTAAATTACACCTAATTGGATAACATCGTAGTTTTTCTTATAGAATAGAACCTAATAATTGTTTCTATAGATTGTTTTGACACTTGATACCTGTGTGCGTGTAATACAAATGGAAATTTCGTCACTACGTAATATTTCAAACGCGTCGCAGCCGAAATGGCTAAACGTGTTCGCATTGTCAATTGGAACGCACTTCAAGGATCAGTTACAAAGGTTCAACTTTCTCGGGTCAAGATTTATTTACGTCAAAAAGATTAACAAAAAAGCGATATAATAATAATTAACTAGAAATGAAACTAATATTTTCGGATTACTACGTGTATATCACATCTAATCTGCCCGTGATCACGGTTGCTGCAAAGTAATTGAAACGTCGAGTGTGTAGTTAAAATAATAAAATAACGCGTAGTAATCCGAAAATATTAGTTTAATTTAAATGAATACTTGCAAAAGTTTTAAATCTCATTATATTTAAATAAAATTTTAATGTTTTATTTTATACAATCATAATAACGTATAAATTTTAATATAGCTTCGCACACATACATCGTAACCTGGTTTAATAGAAACCATTAGGCATAGTAATGATATGGTTATGCCATACATGGTACAGGTAAATGAAGTTTAAATGATTAAATTGTAAATTGCCAGCGATAATATTGACAGACCTAAATCTACTTTCCCTTTAAAGCATGAAAATCCTATTCCTATAGTCGTTATACATTAACCTGGAACAAAACCTTTATTTAAGGGTATATAGTAGTTTTAAACCTTAGGAAGTTTCTTAGTGGCTTCTTCATGATTACTAACTCTAAATCTATAAAAAAGATCAGCTAACACCAGTCTTTGATCGCTCAAGCTAGTACACCTGACATAATTTCCTTCCACACTGCACACAAACAAACACACACATAACACATCTGGTACACATTAAATTAATACATACTCAAACCTGAATGACTTGTCTATGTTTTACATATATACCAAAGAGTGAAACTGTTATCGAAATGAAATATTTTCAAATGAACCAAAAATATGAAATTATTACATTTATTTTTATATGAATTTTAAATATGTGACATAATTAACTTCTATATTTATAGGGTGTTCTTTTTATTTGAGCATTCGCAAATTGCAAATATCTTTAAGACTCATGTAAAATCTTTGTACTTTAATGCTTATTTTATATCTCAAAGTTTATAAACCTTCGTAATGAAAATAATGAATTTGACGTATTTTATCGTTTTTCAAATATTGACGGGAAAACCTAATAAGGGCATTGAAATGTTTAGAATATTTCATGTATGATATAGGAATAAGAAATGTAGGGCACTCTTTATCTACTACTACTACTACTTAAAATATCACAAAAAAACAATTTTTGTTTTTTTCTACTATAATTTATTAACATCAAATTTCTACCAAGATAAGGTATGCTCTATAATTAAGTAATTTTTTTTACTATCTTCAAAACTCGTAAAAAAAGTGTAAAATTCTTAAATATTATTTTATTAGAAAGCTCACTGTATAAAGCTTGGGGTCATGTGTTGCATGATCGCAAAACATGTTTATGTTGTACGAAAGGACAGCCGTGATGCGACTACTGATGACACAACATTGTTTTCTTATCACACTCATGGAATTCATAATATTAGCAACTTTTAAACCGGTTCTTAACATTTTTCCACTCGTTAATGGATGATTAAATAATTAATTAACTATTTTTCTACCTCAAATACTTTTCGAATTGTTGTTTTAATTGATTAAGTATGCATAATTAAACTGATAATTACGGTTTTAAGTAATATATTTATAGAAAGTCTATAATTGATACTAGTTAATTTGGAAGAAATTAAAAATTGATCGTATAAAATGTCGTACTAATTCAAACGACATACAAAAGCCATGTCAATATCTAACCTACTATAGATAATAAGAATAATTGTTTAATTTTATATTAATATCATTATAATATTGTTTCAGTCCGCCCACATTCAAAACCTTAACGCCCACGTCCCGTACGCAGCTTAAACAACAGTTGATGAGAGAGCATGCACAGGAGCAACTGCGAAGGGAATCATTGCAGGTAAATAATACTTTATAACACATTTATATAACACACTAGCCTTACGAACAACGAGTCCTCATAATTTGGTCGTTTTACGAGTTCAAAATCTGTATTATGAATTATAACAAAGCTGTATAATAATCGCTAACGATTTAATGAAAAAGAACAGTTTATTTCCTCTGAAATGTTGCTCTCAGCATCTGAAAGATTTTTTGTCACAACTGAAGTGACTTCGCTTTGTCCACTGAAATAACAAAAACTAGATTATACTTAAGAATAACCTTCGTGGAGATTTTTTTGTTATTTTCACAAGGTCACTCAGCCCATAACAGTTAAAATAAACACTAACAATTAAGTCAATATGTAAATGGTTGCAGAACTATGCTCTTCAAACGACAATGTCCAAATACTCCAAAATAATGGTAGCTTTACACCATTTCTGTATATTATTTGTCATATCTTCAAGATCAGTACTAGCTTCCTAATAATTATTTGCTGATGATAAGATTGAATTTGATTAGATAATTTGTATCATGACGTATTTAATGACGGAAGATAATATTACGCTGAAACGATCACTGCATTCATATCATTAAAAAATGGGTTTGTCTATGATGAGTGGAGTGAAAGATAAAAATGTAACCGAATCTGTAATAGATAATTAACATATATTGTTTTTGTTCAATGTTCTATATATATAGACGATGTCCTCAATATTCAAATGAATCATTATGGATTGCAAGAAGATTAAGTAAATTTAAGTATAGTAGCAAATGGATAAAAAAATAATAATAAATTTAAATATTATGCCAACCATTTTTAGTAGAAATTAGAAAAAAAACCTTTTAACGGGTCATACTCATGTAAATCCTAAATACTTCTTAATATATTCTTTCTTAGTTCATTATTAAAACTTTCAAAGCACATGTATAGATAAGGATGTTGTACTAAAACTACCATTCTCTCAAATAAAACATCATTTTTTCTCGCCAGACACAGCAGGGTGGTCAGTCCAAAGAACATGAGGACAAGAAGAAGTCTTTACCGACGGAGGTGCCACGCGTCGCGCCACACCTGGAATTACCACCACAGGTTTTACAGGTGAGAGTCATTAAACATACGGGAAATCTGACATCTTAATTATATAGGGCAACCAGAGGTTCCATCAAACCTACGTAATTTACTTATATGTATATTTGGTTAGGTAGGGAGAGGAGCTTTGACGGTAGAGGTGAGAGTTTAACGCGTCTTAGATAGCCCCTTAAACCTACACCTGGGTCGCAAGTCCCAGGCATTGTTGAAGCTCCTCTCCTTATAACAATGGACCCGGCACACGCACGGTGAATCCATTAAATGCTAAGATATTTCGTCTCAATAAGAATTACATATTAAAACTTATCACCACCTATACCTAAGATAACATGATTGACCCGATGTTAGGATAGCAATGCCATTCCATTACTCGTGTTGTATCAGGAATCTTCTGGTTCACATGGCTTGGTTTTCGTTCCTCGGAGTCCGCAGCGTCACTCATATTATATGCTATCCATACAACGATGTTCATTTATCTTTCAATATGTTTTCTTACAAAAATCTTTAATTTGTGGGTGTAGGTGCGAACAGTTCTGGAGAATCCCACCAGGTATCACGTGATCCAGAAGCAGAAGAACCAGGTGCGGCAGTACCTGAGCGAGTCATTCACACCACAACCACAGGTTTGTCAAAATTCTATAAAGAACTACTTCTGATACTGAAAATATATGTTTCTTATTTGAAGTCTATGGAAATCTAATTATTACTTGAGTTTAAATGAAAAAAACATGTGTATAGATATAGAAGTTATTGTATTGTTGAATAACTAATGCACATTCATCTCAGTTTAGCAACTGTCTTATACCGAGTATTACATAATGCCACATAATATGACATATATATGTGTGAGATCTATATATGTATATATATGTTATTCTTTATTCAATTGTAATTAACTGACTTTTTTTATTTGTTCTTCTCTATGCTTACTTGGTACCGCTTTTAATCACTACAAACAACTGAAGTAAGTTCTGTCATTGAGATCTTAATAATTAATCTTTTTAATTGTTTATTAATCTTTTTTAGTTATTTTTAGTTAATCATTTATAGTATGTCCTTATTAAAATTAATTTCTGAATTCTACGCCCCTGAATGTTATAATAATTTGGTATTTCTAACTGGTTTCTTATGTATATTCGAGGTTAAACTTTCATAATTGATTTTTTATATTCAGCGTTACTTCCAGATATATCTACTGATTTGGTATTATTGGATATTAAAACTAGTGTTTGTCTTTGTCAGGTATCGTCTGTTCGTGGGGCGGTGCAGAGCGCCCCGGAGTTGAGGTCTTCATCACCAGAACGTGGGACTGTTCTCAGTCCAGGAATATGCTCGGCGGGGAACTCAGAAGTATTACTATATTACTATATACATACTAGACCATATACTTCTATAGAATTCATGATTACAAACTTTTTACATAAGGAGCCTAACAGATAGTACGATTTTTATTACTGATTTCAATGAATCTATTTCCAAAATCACTCACACACATTTACACATTTACACATTCACACATTTACACATTTCACATTTAGGAATTAAGAATAATGTTTTTCCTAACCAACTCAATGTGAGTTTAGCACCTATATACCAAATATGGTTATTCTATATAACTTCTTGAAATGATTTCATAATTTCATGAGCGCATGTTCTACATATAATTTTTTCTTGCTACAAACTATATGTGAATATGTTTTTTGTTGTCCTCTAGACCGATGAGTTTCTGGATGATATTCTATCCCTGGACAGCGGGGCGGGTCCCCTGTCATCATCGGAGCCCCCCTCGACGGCCAGCTCGGTGGCCGGGGACTGCGCCCTCTCAGACGCTGACATGCACGCGCTCGCTAAGGATAGACAGAAGAAAGACAATCATAATATGAGTGAGTAAAAGACGTAGAAGATTACAAAATATGATAGAAGAATCTTTAGAAATATATTGATTGGTCTATTTATAGATGATACTTCATTTAGATGTTAGGTTTTTAGCTGTCCAAAAAAAAATGTGTTGAATACATATAGAAAATTAAAGTGTAAAATCAATTGTTAAAAATTTTCAATTTTTTTTATTTAATATACCTTCTTTTTTGCGAGTGCTAATTTAAATAAAACTAAGTTGTTTGTTATTTTATCTTAACATACTCCCGACCTTTACAACAACCATGATCACGGGCAGACGAGATGAAAGAGACAAACTTAACGCGTTATCCAAAAATCTTAGTTTCATCATAAATGATCTTAACCAAATATATTATTAATTATTATTATTAACTATATCTATATGAATATATTTTCCAGTCGAACGCCGTCGTCGTTTCAACATAAACGACAGAATCAAAGAGCTGGGCACCTTACTGCCCAAGACGAACGATCCCTTCTACGAGGTGATAAGGGACGTGCGACCCAACAAGGGCACTATACTCAAGAGCAGCGTGGACTACATCAAGTGTTTGAGAGACGAGGTGGAGCGACTCAAACAAGGCGAACAGAGGAGGAGACAGATCGAGCTGCACAACAGGAAACTGATGCTCAGGATACAGGTATACTAGTTCCCCCCGCGGTGTTACTCGGATTTCTCGGATATAAAGTAGCCTATGTCCTATTCCTGGACGTCAGCTCCTTATATACAAAATTTTATCGAAATCGCTTCAGCGGTTTGATCGTGAAGATGTAACAAACATACACACTTACAAACTTTCGCAATAATATGTATTAGTAGGATGGACCAAAAGTAAAAAGTTGTATTAGTATATAAGAAATGTGATGAGCAAGGCATGTGATAAAAAGAGATCTCTATAAGAAACGATTTTGATAGAGGAAATGGCAATAAAATGTGGTGCAGGTAGAATAAGGAGAGAGAAGAATAAAAAGAGGGATATGTAATATGTATGTTACTTCCTTAAGATAGTTCTTGGTATTCAGTAGGTCTCAGAAAACATATTATAGTTGATATAATAAAAGTAATCCTATGCACCCTTCGTAGGACCTTATATATGTTAAATATACTTCAGCACTTTAAATACAAGTATTATTTTTTCCTTTTTTAAGAGCCTAAATTAAGTATATATATAAATTCCAGGAGTTAGAGCGTCTGGCGCGCGTTCATGGACTTCCAGTGAACGAAAGCTGGTCAGCATCACAAGAAGACTCCGGAGTTGAAGCGTCTCCGGAGTGTTACACTGAGAAGAATAATGTGCATCAAGTAAGATACCTTATATATATAAAGAAAATAGATTATAATGTTTGTAATATAATGAAAAATGGCGTGGTGGCCTAAAGGTTAAATCCCGCCTCTCATGCATGAGGGCGCGGGTTCGATCCTGGCCCTGGCAAGTGCCAATGTGATTTTTCCGAGTCATATGTACTTTCTAAGAGTATTTAGACATCACTGATTAATGAAGGAAAACATTGTGAAGGAACCTGGACTTATAATTTCAAATTATAAGTTTGAAATCGTCCATCCGTCTTGAGCAAGCGTGGTGATTAATGGTCAAACCTTCTCCATGTGAGAAGAGGCTTAGCAGTGGGCTCTGATAGACTGATGATAATGATGTAATATATGCATACAACACAAAAACTTATGCCTATTAGTGATATATCTCATAATTTATTATTTAACCGATATAATTAAATATATATTGTACACATATAAGTTTCCTTTAATATTATTCCAGGAGCCTCCTCCTGTCCAACCCAAGAGTGAACCGGCGCCGATGGAACTGTCTGATGGGAGAGACGCGCTGGCAGCGCTTACAGCGCTTGGTATGGAACATATATGATAAACTAATATAGCTGTAGCTTTTAGCTGGATAAGCTTGAAGGGATAAGACCCTTGTAGAGAGAATGGTAGTTTTGATAACAGATTTGTTTTAATCGAAGATTAAGTCTACTGGCACTCTTAGGTCTTCTATCTCCCTTTTTCTTCCTAATACCAACAATTTTAAAAAATTACATCTGGAACACCTGTTCAGAAGTCATATAGCTGTAAATAAAGACGAATTACCAAAATAATATATAATGATTTGAGGAATTAACTAGATAAAATCAAATATTTACAAACACAAATTGAACCCGGACAAAATTATACTTCGTCCGTATTGGACAAAAAAATTTGCTTACATTATATAAAACTACACACAGACAAACCAGATGATAACGTGACCACGGTTTCTTTAAAGCAACCAAAACGTCGGGAATATCTAGTAAAAACATTTAAAAATTTCGTAATAAATCCGAAATATATCAGTTTTATTGTAATGAATACTCTCGAAAATCTTAGATCTCATTATAACACTATATAATATAATAATGATATTTTTCTCTATACCAGATGGTTTAAAGCTTGGTTCCTGTTCCCCCCTGGACCGTGGACCGTCTCTATCCCTGGACTGTTTGGAACCAGACCTCTGTCTGGACACACCTGGAGACCTCTTCCACAAAGATATTAAGGTATATATTAATATATTTTATATGGGAAAATCGAGCATACGACCTACCTAATTGAGGTAGTACTGTCGCTTTGGACATCCGAAATATAGGTTTGTGGATGTGTTGCCATACTTATTGGGGAAAAAGAGGTGGAAAAGGAAAGGAAAGAATGCGAAAAGGGAAGGGAACTAAAATTTATTTATTAGTGGGTAAAGACTGACTTGAATGGAAATACCACCCTCTCACAGAAGATCGACGAGAAATCATTCATACGTTTTGTATGATGGATGAGAGAGACGATTGCTCTTTAACTATATATATCTCTCTCTCTCACAAGCAAAATTGTCAACGGACCTTTAACATCTTTTATATTGCAGATGTCCATGAGCGATATTCACTACCTTTATCAAGTAGATCGTCTATTCGTTTGACGCTTTTCTCATAAATAACTTCCTATATTTGTATAATTCATTTAAGATTTTGATACGAAACATTAATAAATTACCCACCCAACCATATCAAGGCTGAGTGGCGGAATCGACTCCAAATCTTGACGTTATTAATGAGATGCTATACAAATTATAATTCTTTATATTATCATTTGCAGCAGATGCGCCTGTCTCCTACAGCCGGTCTCCTGGACGATGAAGCGGTCATGAACCTGGCGCAGATAGAAGACTTGATGGATGACGACTCACACAACCCCGTCACACAAGGTATATATACTATACTATACTATACTATAATTGTTGATATTACAATCATCATCAGTCTATCAGAGCCCACTGCTGAAAAGCCTCTTCTCACATGGAGAAGGTTTGAGCATTAATCACCACACTTGCTCAAGACGAGTTGGCAATTTCAAACTTTAAAATGAAACTATAAGTCCAGGTTTCCTCATTCCTTCACCGGTCAGTGGTGTCTGAATATTATTAGAAAGTACATATGACTTTTTAGAAATTACAATACAAATACTTTATTTTAATAGACACGACGTAATAACAAAAGAGGAAGTAGATAGACATATTTTTCAACCAACAAACAGAGCGGCAACATTCATAAAATAAACACAGTAGTACCAACCATGTAATTTCTTACTAACGACAATAATATATACAGGGTGACTGGTGAATTACTATCAATATTTAAGGAGCATACTCGGTACATGATTCTCATTCGAATTATGTAAAAAAATAGGTACTTAATTTTTGACCAAATTTCCGTATAAATAAATAAAGTGTGTACACGTTCCAAGTGTTCCTAGTGTGGACGCGTGCGGCGGCGTGCTGATACAACAACACGCCGCCGCGCGCGATTGTGTGTGTGTGTGTTTATACCTAATCTGTAGGGTGTTCATACGATGCGTAATTAATTACATAACTTTTGGTTAACTTTACTCAGAAGTTTATTAATATTTATGTTATATTAATTTTTATTTTGTCATATATGATCGTCAAATATCACGTCCTCAAATATCGATAGTAATTCACCAGTCACCCTGTATATCATATACAATTAATGATACCTATATTTCACTGTTTCTAGACTTCATACACTTATATATACTTCTCAGTCTCATATAAGACAAATTAATTTAGTCTATATTATTATATATGTATTACTATTTCCAGGTGACCCTATGCTATGTTCGTCTCCGAGCGCGATGGGTCCCGCAGGAGACTCATCCTGCGCGATGCTGCACATAGACCTCGCGCTGCACAACACAGACTACGGCTCACGTAAGACTGGTCTAGACTCAGCTACATACAGACTTACAGACTCATGTTACATGTTAACGATTTATTTATTTATTTATTGGGAAACAAACAGCATATACACATCATAGTTTTCACATATTTTACAACAATATTATATGATACACCAGATGAATGTAGTATTTTGATAAAATATTGTAATAATTTGAAAATTTAGTTGATATTAAAAAGTAAATATATACAAGTATTTTGTGGAATATATTTCAATATAACTTATAATAGAATGGAAGATATAATGAAGTAAAAAATAGTTATATTTTAAAAAATAAAAGTGACTAATATTATTATATCAATTAAATCCTCTCAAATACTATTAATATTCACTATTTTAAAACACAGTACCTCAAATTCTGTAGTCGGTTAAGTCTAAAGCAGGGTTTCCCAGCCTTTATTTCACTGAGCCTCCCCAATTCAAAAATAATATTCTCATGCCCCCTTAAGTTTAAAAACAAACATTTTTTTTACAACTTTATTATTTATTTGAATTAAAATTAAAAACAAAGAGTTCCATACAGATATTTGTAGATATTTATGTTTTAAGGATCTAATTAGAGAAGATATGTATATGTATCTACACTCGAAAACCATTAATTACTTACATATTTAGGTAAATATGCTAGTTTTATTTTAATTATTAAATACTAATGAGATACTTGAGCTTGCATCTTCTGTACCAGTATGTCGATTCTGGGTTCAGTCTTTGCTAGAGCAATGGTTAAATTTGATTTGATTCTTTTCATATAGGCCAACGGGTTGTGTCGGCGGCCCTGCGGGCTTAGTGTGTATTGCGCTTAAGTACTATTTCCGAAAATTAAACGTACCGATTACGTCCCCCCTGGTATTAAACTATGCCCCCCTGGTTGGGAACTCCTGGTCTAGAGTATATTTCTTGTAGTGCTTGTGTATGTATGTTAATGTATTTATGTTTTCATGTTCCAGGGTCCCTCCTGTCCGAGTTGAGTGAGGGGCTTCCTCTGTTGATGGGTGCTCAGCCCTCCCGCGCCTGCTTCGACATGGATTTAGGGGCGTAGTCCCCGGAAATACAACGCGGGCTTTTAGAAGCATTTTATTATACAGGGTGGTCACAAAACTTATATACAGACGAGCCTCGTGAAGTATTAAACGCATCACCCTGTATATAGTATACAGTATGTTTATTGTTATAAAGATATCTATTTATTCGATCGTTGTGATACAAGAATATATTTTTGTAAGACTATACATGTTATACACCCGGCGCGCCTCGCCTCGCCGTTCAGTTGTTATCGTATTATGAAGGCAGCGGCCGCTTCTCAAACATATATTTTTATGAACTAGTTAAGTGTGACTCGTATTAAATCAGTGCCTTACATTGTACGTCGCGTGCAATAATTATATTATACATATATATTTTATTAGTATTTTTTTGGCGAACAAATTATATAATGTTACTTATATATAAAGTTATTGTGATGTTTTTCTTTATATATATTATTATATATAAGATATTGTTAGTGAGTCTGTCCGTAGTGTTAGATGTTGAGGCGCTTTAAAGCGGTCGAATGTGAATGTTATATTATTATTTAATATATAAATGAGATTATGAAAATATGTTGAAGTACAAAAAATATTACAGAATTTACCAGTTCATTAGTGTTTTATTGAATACCCTCAGGTTAATACACGGCTGCGCTCCTATTGAGAACTCTATATAAAATACTATTAAATTATTTTTAATGCAATATTTTCATGGCACATATGTATATAGAGTTATTACAGATTTTTATTAGCAGCATTATGTATAACTAACAAAGTCTTATGCAATACATACTAGTACTCTTATGGTTATAGACTCGAGAAGTTTTTTTTTGTTTTCTATTCCTTTGTTCTGAATTTCAATTGAAGTTTACGGAGTTCATTATTTTTCATTGAAGTGAAATCTTTTTTAAATATTACTTAGAAGACTTTACCAAATAAATCCTTCACTATTTTTTACACAGCATAACATTTCAACTCTTCTATCGTTTAAACTGGCAATGAACTTATTCAAACTCAAACTCAAATAACTTTATTCAATATAGAAGCATTACACTTTCTTATTGATGGTTCATTACACTTTCTTATTCCTCATTTTGTTCTATTTCATGTGTTAGTTCTTCTTCTTCTTCTTCTACCTGGCAATTTCCCAGCTACAGCCAGGGTCTGCCTTACATATTTTGAATAGTTTTGGCTAATTGTTTTTACGACCGGCCGCCTGCCTGACATTAACCCTCTTTGGGAATATCAGTTACTTAGTTATCAGATAAATTCAGCTATTTTTTTTTTCTTTAAAAAAGAGCTTAAGTATATAGAGAGACGAAATCTCATAATCCCCTGGATTCACCACGTTAGTGTCGGGTCCATCGTTGTAGTGAGAGGAGCTTCAACAGTGACTGGGACTTGTGAGTTGTGACCCAGGTGTAGATTGAAGGGACCCCTATCTAACGCGCTAAACGCTCACCTCCACCGTCCAAGCTCCTCTCTCTACCTAACCAAAATTGAAAATTACCTACGAGGACCGCCTTCGAAGTACGTTCGAAGAATGAATTGATGTTAGTTCTGGACAGGCCCAAGTCTTTTATCAAGTTGTACAGAGATTTTGCTGTTATACCTCTCGCTCCTACTTCTACTGCATGCAAATTTAAAACAAACCTACTCTTGGTGAGTTCTTAATACTTATTGACCTTGATGACCTAGCCTGTGGAGAGGTTGGTTTGCCAAGGAACCGTAAGCTCTATTAGCACAACGTGCTGTAAAAACCTCTTTTAACCCCGAAAATTTGTATAGAAAATTAACTGCAATCCCTCATTTCAATAAAATAAAAAAATGCGAGGTTCCACTATTTTATTTGTTTTTTTTTTACGAAAATCTTTAGAATAAAATAAATGTAGACTCAAATAAGTATTTTAATGAATTTGAAATCATTTCCAGTAACTAGATACGATCTTTTCTAAAGAAACATCACTTTTACTGAAATCAGGCTATGTACGGACGGTATGACTACAGGAGATTTCAAGAATTATTTAAAGTTTAGGATTTTACGGTTTACGTGTGAATCATTAAAAAATACATTCATTAAACATAAGAAGAATCTATTAAGATAATATTTCTTGATCTTCCAAACGTACCCGGTTCCAGTGCGATCTGCTTGCACCAGACGTGAATTCTTGATTCAAAACAAGTTTTAATACTATTTATTGTTTCTGCTTTCTACTACGTATTTCAGTATTACACTTTGGATTAACACATGTGTGACATTAATTACTTTAGTTGTTTATTAAACACGCCAGAGGTTTTTAAACAATTTAGGTTATAAATACTTTATTATTATTAAATGAAACCTGCCTTAGTTTTATATGTTAAATGATAAACTGCTACGTTTAGGTACTTAATTAATTATTTTTTTTAATTATCGTCTTCAAAAAAGGTATTTTGAGTTTTCTATAGAATACTTAGTATGTAAAGTTAATATTTTGTTTAAATAAAGCTTGTAATGTTTTCGTAAAATTTTGATATTGAAACTCTAATTTTCAGTTAAACGACTCACGTATTTAACTTTGTTCCCTGAAAGGCTCAATAAAGGTTACCTCTTATCAATAGTCATAACATTGACAGTAAAAAAAATATAATAATATGTTACATGACAAAATAAAGTTTTAATTAAATATATGTTTCAATAATTTATCCAGTTACTATCTGTTAACCGCGACTTCATGCCGATAAAAACAGTCAAATCTTAAGTACATGCAATGCATACAAAGTTTGGCTTTTGTTGTAGCTATAGATTAGAAACTTTTATTGCCAGCATCAACTCCAGCTATAATTCTTGGGGAGAAGTTATTATAAAATTCGCTTATAGATAATTTCTACACTACATATAGATGATTTCTACCAAATTTAGATCAAGAAGCTTTACTTTAAAAACGAGAATTTTTAATTACAGTCGCTTCCACAACATACCCTGTGGGTGGAATTATGTAAAATCCATGCTTTAACTAACCTCTACTTGGCGATAGGAATATTCCTACCCATTTTTAAGTCCCTTTTAGTTCCAGAGATATCATGATGAGTCAACATATTAGTGGAATTCTTTTTTATATATGTATAAGAAGATTTAATCCACGAAAACGGTATTCGATACAGGGACCTTGACCGGTCTACCTACCTTATTATTTGTCTTTGACATGTGGATTTTTTCTTTAATATATTAGACAATCAATAACTGAAAGTTATTGTAGAAATACACAGATTTTCTGTGATTTACATAAATAAGTAACACTAATGAATAGTATAGTAATATTGTATTATAAGTAATAATCTTTATTGTTTGTTGATCGTTAACTGTTAAATAAAGTTAAATAAAGCCTAATCGACAATAGTCTAAGATTGAATATATAATGATGAGTACCTATTGATCTTTAGAATTTAAAATCTTTGAAGTCATTGGTGGCCTAGTGGTTAAAAGGCCCGCCTCTCATATACATGGGCGCGGGTTCGATCCTGGCCCAGGCAAGTACCAATTTGATTTTTCCGAGTCATATGTACTTTCTAAGAGTATTTAGACACCACTGATTAATGCATTCCCAAAGAGGGTTGATGTCAAGCAGGCGGGCCGGTCGTAAAAACAAGTAGCCAAAACTATTAAAAACATGTAAGACAGACCCTGGCTAAAACTGGGAAATTGCCAGGTAGAAGAAGAAGAAGCATTGATCTTTAAAATCTTTTTAGACGCTACGAATTTTTCATGGATAATCATAATTAGTTCTTTCTAATTTATTTACGACATTATATTATAAACTTTGATTAAAATATACCTTACAAATAAAACGTTTGAATAAATAAATCCGTAAATATTGTAACCAGGTTGTGAGGGCTTTGAAGATTTTTAAAAATACTACTACAAAGAGATCCTTTGGCGAGTATGCATTAAAATAAAACTTATATTTTCGAATGCACTATGTACGTGTATTTTATTATTAAAGTGAAAATTCCATAGGCTCATGAGGGTAATTTAAAAAAAAACTACATATTCACGTGATTACATGCAGACGAGACGTGAGTGTCTGTTAGTCGGTCTTGTTATTTTATCACCTACCGCCATCGATTTCTTAATCTTCAAGGTGTCTCGAGGTCCTGCGGTGTGGTCACGGACATGCGATTTTATATTTTTAATGAGGGGGTCCCAGGTGTTTGATAGATTTGCTGCATATGTAAGTGGTTTTATAATAGTTTATAATTGAAATAGTTTGCATTAAACATTGTTATTACGTTGCGTGATTCTTAAGTTGTATTAATGAAGTTTAGAAAATTACGGTCGGAACGATAAAAATTTCGTATGTAGTGACGTTCCAAACGTGTGCTATATATACTGTGTTTCATTTAATAAAGGAACTACATTATATAAAGACATTAAAACTATCAGAAATGAAGACAAAAGCTGTATATCTTTTAGTATTTAATGTACGTCCCGTCAGTCAGTAGTCGCCATCAGCCAGCCCCACTGACCGCGTCATATTTATTAATTCAAAATGTCGCTTGCATAAAAACCGAGCATTAATTCGATCCCGCCGGCGCCGGCACACTTCTCTTTATAATAATGGACGATCTTTGCAAATGCAATTTTTCCCCCAAAAATGAACTGAGTAACAATTATTTTTATTCATTCGGTCTTCCGATACAATGGAGCGTTTCAAATTTCTACGAAATTTGTGTTTTTGCATAAAATGGTGGCGCGGGGAGTCGCGTGCGCGCATTATAATATGTAGTGACCATGTGTTAGATGACTGTGTTGTGGTCAGTACAAACTAAATATATTATATAAATATGTTAAATGAAAACAATTCACTTGAAATTATATTAAAAACCGTTAAAATTAATATCTTTACTTAAATTTGTACAAAATGAATTATTTTAACAATTTTATTTAAAGAAATTACAATAATAATAGCTTTAATTACTATCAAATAAGTTTTTACACACATCTATCTTAAAAAACCATAAAAAATTTACATATATTTAAAGAATTTTAGTAATATTGTTTGATGGTTACCCTACAGGCCATTGTAAGTGTAGCACATTGTTACCGTATTGATAGAGCCGATACAGATATTTTTTCATAAATTTAAATGAGACCCCAAACTGCATTCTCCATTTGCATGGTGTTCGTTTACGTCAACTGCTGTTAATTTTATGGGGAAAATTAGAAACGCGTCCAAAAAAAATGGACTGAGTCCACATAGATTGAGAATTATTATTACGATATGTTAATAATAATTTGTTACATTGATTCTTAGAATAAAGTCATTGTGCTTTTAAACATAAAGTAAAACGAAATTAAACCTTTGTACATTTTTATCATTTATTCATTCTTTTTTACAACGTTAATCTACATAACTAATAAATATTTTTGATACTTGTATATGTCTAATTATACTCGTAATATAGTTATAATTATACTTTTTTGATCAATCGACTTTTAAATTCTTGTACTTCTTTGAATAATATATTTACGGTTACAGAGATTTAATATTACATATTTAAATGTAACATTTTAACAAGCTATTTTATAAAAAAATATTACCAACGAACTGCATTTTTTATTATTAAAAATATGCTTCAATTGAGAAATAAAAATTTCAAAGGAAATTTTCGTTTTGTTAACACGTCTAATATTAAAATCAAAAAAATAATACACGAAAACCTACTGTTATAAAAGTCAAGTCTTTAATTATCTTAGATCTTAATGAACCTCTTTCCACCCAAACAATAAAAAACTTCAACATTTGAAAGCATTTTTGAGACAGTGTCATTTAGTGAAAGAAGAGTTTTATAATGTATATTGTTTGATAGTAAATATTATATTATGTTGCAAGTTGCGCCCATTCCTCAGACGCCAGCGGAGCCCTACGTGCCCGCAAAGGAGCCCCTCGTGACCACACAACCTACTACAGAGGTAGTATAGAGAGGACTGAACAATAAACTGGACTAAAAATATACAACTAACGCAATAGTCCAAAAAAAAATAAGACTAACAAAAACAATTAATTACTTAAGTTATACAATTTAGCAACAAAGTAACAAAGTTACGTTTAATTCACATTTTGTATGCAATTTATAACATTTATTACACTGATATTTATCAATTAGGTACGTATTTTTAATATACTAAAACTCCTTTAATAAAAAATACAACTTCTTGTTGATATTTCAATTTAAATAACATTGAAATATCAGATTAATAAGAGAAGCTACATGAACGTCTGTGAGACGATGCACTCTTAATTTGCTTGTAATATGTAATAATTATATATTTAATATACACACACTATATAGTTTTGGATTTTGTATTTTGGTTTCCTTTAAAAACTTTCCGCTCACATAACTAATGAGAAAATCATAGTTTTAAAGTGAATTGATTAAAACAAAAATGAGTAAATTCTCTCAATAACTGAAGTCATGTTGTAAGGAAAATAAACAGTTATTAGTAAAATAATAATTTCTCAGTATTAATGTTAATGAATATTACGCGACACTTCAAACGTAACTTATAAAATATAATATAGGATATAAATATATGTAATTGAATTGCTAAAAGTTAAATAAAACTTTTCTATAAACATACATTCAACGGTATATAACGGACTTTTTATTTCTGTAAGATAAAGAAAAAAAAATACATGTTAAAATACAATAAAAAAGCCGAAAATTACCTGATATATATATTATTCAGTATATATTAATATGTACAGCAGGTCACTCCTGAACCCCACATCCTCAAGGATCTAGCCTCAGTAGAACGTCTTCTCTTCACCAAGAGGCTGCGAGTCAAGAGTGTGCTCTTCTTGAGAGGGAAGAAGAACAGGTTCCTGGTGAGGACTCCGGACCAGAACCTCGTGTATACAGTGGAGGAGCAGAACAGGTACAGAATGACAGCTGACACTTACGAGAGAATGCATTTTTATAACTAACTAGCTGCGCCCCGCGGTGTTACCCGCGGATTTCCGGGATGTAAAGTAACCTGTGTGTTATTTCAAGACGTCAGCTTCCTGGATACAAAATCTTACTAAAATCGGTTCACCCGTTTGAGCGTGAAGAAATAACAAACACACACACGCATTCACAAACTTTTACAATTATAATATTAGTAGGATATTTTCATATTACTACGCGTTTTTTATTGATTTAAACTACATACTCCCGACGTTTCGGTTACTTGCAAACAAGGGTCAACACGAAAATATTAGTTTTGTTTAAAGACTAGGTATAGAGTTCCCAATTTTAGTCTAACTCGCATACTAAATTTGTTAATTCATTTGCCAAATATGTAAAATATGATAATTTAAACATGTGATTCTCTCAATCATCAAGTCATGTAATCCAAACTTCTAAATGGAAATAAAACAATTGAAACTAATATTTTTCGGATGTACTATGCGATTTTATCTTTTATCAAAAACTACATATTCCCCACGTTTCGGTTACTTTACAGCAACCGCGATCACGAACAGACGAGATCTCGTAGTACATCCGAAAAATATTAGTTTCATTTAAATGAATACTCGCGAAAATCTTAGATCTCATTATGGAAATAAAACAAATTATAGAAGCAGTATAAATAACTGTATTATAATGAGTGAATGTAAGTCGTGTTCGTTCCAGCTGGTGGGTTGGTTACTTCTGCTACGGTCTCCGTCCGCTGCAGCTACACGTGAGGGACAACGCGGGTGTGGAGGTGATGCGCATCAACAGACCCTACGCCTGCACCTCCAGGATACTACCCTGTCACCTACAGAGGATACAGGTCATAGGAGTTCATATTTTATTATAAGAAAGGCTACAAACGAGTAGTTGACCTACTAGATGGGCAGTAGCCACCGTCGCCAATGGACTTATGCAATATCTGTATCTCGTATGCGATGAAGACGTTAATTTTTGAGGAAAAGGGAGGGCTGTGAATAAGGAAATGGCAGGAAAGGGTGGGAACAGGGAAAAAGCAACCAGCTCTCTCTATTATCTACCACCAACCTGATCTAATAATTGAAAAATTCACAATGTTTTACTTCTGTAGCTTGGCCAGTTACTAACAACTTTGCAGAATTGCAGCATAAAATTGAAATATGATTTAAGAAACCATTTATAAACCCCTCAAAACTATAAAGTCTTGAGGTCACCAGCTTTAATATTATTCAATTATTCCAATTTTATTTTTATTTATAGGTTCATTTCTTTAAATTTTATGAAACTTTTGTCAAGTTTTTTTTCTTTGTAGTAACTTTTAATGCATTGTACAACTTAATACGATCAGTCATGTATTGAGACGACTTGACCTTCACCATAAAAAATCTCTTTATAATAAGACAATTGTTTTTTTCACAGGTTTTTTCGCCACCTGGAAATCCAATAGGTACTATTGAGCAGCAGTGGGCACCTGTGAGGCCGATATACCTTGTGAAGAAAGAAAATGGCGAACACGCCTTCTGGCTCAAAGGTTGATTTAACATTCATAAATTTATTGATATTACTAATTTTAAGGTCCAAAAGAGGACAATCTGTACTCAGAGCAATGCCTAGAAGATATTTAAATTCGGTTTGCGAAGGTATCTTCAAAATATTAAATGTTTCTCATGGCATTTTAATTAAATAAAAGTTTATTTCCTAAAAAACAAAACCGAATTTGGGTAATCGTTTAAAAGAAGTGACTACATTATACTCTATGCTTATCCCTAGTTTACATTGACACACTACATACGCCGCGTTAACAGTATTTCATTCATAAATCTTTACATTATATTAATATAAGTTACTGTATGGAGTGATACGATTCAAACTTGTGATATCTAATGAGATCTAAGACTTTGGGGAGTTTTAATTTAAATAAAACTAATATGTTTCTGATTACGCTTATTTCTTTATTTTTAACTACATACTCCCGACGTTTTATACGTTGCAGCAATCGATCACGGAGTGACGAGATTTGTCAAATACGCGTTATAATCCGAAAAATATCTTTCATTTCTTGTGATAGATATTAATTATAGAATAAAAACTCATTATGATTCAATTAACTAAGCCATTAGTATCTGTTTGTCAGTTCATTCTATCAGCCTGTATACCTCCAGGTCCACTAGTGACGATCAGTTTCTTCCGCGAGGTTCGTTTCAGCGTGTGTCGGGCTGACGGTACTCCGGCCGGGTCCACCTGCAAGCGCTGGCAGGGCCTGCTGCACGCGCTGTTCCTCGCGCCAATAACTGACAGGTATTGGCATTGATGTTACAGCCAAATAAAATTTAATTAGAATTTTGTAACTATAATATGTAGAAGTCATCGTAATCTTCTATATATATAAAAATGGATTGCTGTTCCTTAGTCTCGCTAAAACTCGAGAACGGCTGAACGGATTTATCTTATCTTAGTCTTGAAATATTCGTGGAGGTTCAGGAAAGGTTTAAAAGCTGAAAAAAATTGATTCATTACTGGGAAAACCATAAAAACAGCCCTTTTCTATTTCCCATACAAACGTTTTTTTTGACATTAGATTTGACAACTAACTAATTTGTCAATCATTCTGTCACACTTCAAAACACGGAGATTTATGGTTCACAGGTAAACTCCAAAAATATAAATAAAAAATCGTGATAGATATTTCTTGATTATAGGACGATACGAAGTTCGCCAGGTCTTCTAGTTAGTAATAAATAAGAAATTTAATGAACAATAGCTTTGATAGTATATTTTAAAGGACATATTTATAAGAACAATTATCCCTAATGAACATTTTAATTACTTTTTGTTGTGTTTATTTTATGTAACGTTTTCATTCCCACTGAAATCGTGGAATATCTTGCAAATATCCCCGTTTTTATTTGATTAAAAATTATAATAAGGCTATAGTCTCAATGATAATCTTCAATATATTTTCGTTAATTTCAGATTTGGTATTGCATTTGACAGAGATCTAACAGTTGAAGAAAAAGCATTATTGCTGGCCGCGACTCTGCTTCTTGATTATATGTACTATGACGCGTGAATTATTATATGTTGTATGTTGTTTTATTTTTAACCACTGTATGTGTATTTTATATAATAAATTTACTTTATAGTTTCTTGTAAGAAAATTATTTAATTTACAAATACGTATATGACCATTTTAGTTTTCAAATATCAGCGATGCTAAGAGTTTTTAACAATTCTTTACTCGCTACCGAATTAAAATGTTTCCCTTTATAAATAATAATCATAAAAATAACGGATAATAAATAAAATGTCATTAATGTTTCAAATCCATCAATCCTCGGGGTTTATAAAGTTAAAATGTGATTTCGTTGCAATTAATATTTGAATAAAAGCGGTAAATAGAAATAATAAAAATCAAATGTACGGCTTTAATGCAAAATAAGTGTGAATACAAAAAATAATCGTTCTTAAACAGTTACAATAAAGACTTCAATCCCTTGAAACACACAAATATTAAAATAAGGGGACATCTCGATCGTTATACTTTAAATGCATTTCTCGTTTTTACAACAAAAACTACGATTTCCCCTTAAAAATTAATGTCCTTCATCCACCACCCCTATTTGCATTGTATTTAAACTTTTTTCTAATCTACAGAAATCGGCAGATGTCCGAAATAAATGGCGCGAAATTTTGACAGAATATAACTTTTGACAATGACAACTGCATACAAGGAATTGTGCAGTAAAATTATATATATTGGGTAATATCGAACCCTTTTCCAAAGGATTGAATTCAATTATACAATCCGGCGACGGAAAAGGGGTGCTTTTACACAATTTTGGAAACATTTTTTTCTAATATGTAGGTCACTGGGTGTATTTAGTGAATTAAAGTTTTTTATTGTATCCCTGTGTTATAAATCCGTGGCGCGCGTCTGTCACGCGTTCGGAAAAGCAAGGGTTTACAACAATAGCTTTTTAGAAAATGATTTAGAGAAGTTTTTTTTTAATTAATGTTTTTAGTAAATCCGGTAACAGATTTACTTTTTTTGTGAAATTTCCTTATTTGGGACATTTAATAAAAAAAAATGTCAAGCCGTAATTTATGTCCTGATTATTTTTTTATGTTATTTTTATTTCACTATTTGGTTTTGAAAGTAACATGGAAACCTTTTACTTTTAGATGTAAAACTATGAATTTTCTAATGATATTACATTTACATATTTTGGTTGTATAATAAAAAAAATATTCCCTTTATAAAAAAGTGACGCTAATTCCGAAAAACAATAATTTAAACCAAAGTGAATTAGTCAATGGCTACGAGGATATTTTATATCTTAGTTACATTGAAATTGTATTAAACATTTCTAAGAAGTTAATTCAATATATGAATTTTATAGCAAAATGTTAATAAACAAATAAAGTTATATAATTAGAAACAGGAAAGGTTATAGAAGTATTCAATACTTAATAATACAATGAATTATACCTTGTTGTAATTGAATATGATAAAAAATTAAGTTTTAATAAAGTTGATCTGATATCCGTGTCGCCCTTCGGCCGGGTTAACGCCGCCATGTTGACACCGTCACGGGTTACCCGTGTCTCTTACAATGTTTTGCCATTATGTTTTAACATTTAACCCATTTTTTAACAATTTCACCCAAAAAAACACAGTTTCCCCATAAAAATTTTGACAGATGCTTACAATTCGACCCTCGTGTCGCGATTTTAATGGATGTTTTTTTTTTTTAATAAAACTGGATTTTTATATTTATTTTTTTTTGGAATCCAAAGCTGACAGTTGACGCGAACATAATCTTCAATTAAGAGTATTTTTGGCGGGAAATTTTTTTGATGGTTTCCGAAGGGGTCATAGTTGTGATTTATTTATTTATAATTTTATGGTATAATGGGTTTAGTGATCGGTTGAGTTGACGCTTAAAAACTCATCGCGTTGTGATTTTCTTTATCATAATTCATGGAAGTTTTAAATTAATTGGCATCAACACTTTTGTTTACGAACTAACTTACGCCATTTTAAGGTAAATTTATAGTCTTTTGCATATTTGAAGTAGCTACTACTGATTAAAACATGTTTGTTTACACTTTTTTCTTTTTCTTATGATGTCATTTATTGTAACATTAATGATTAACAAAACTTATTCGTTTTTTTTCTAATTTATTTGTCTTGTAATTAACTTTCATTTCTTAAAAACTCCTCAATCATACGTCCACAATATTTATTAACGATACTTATTATAAAATTTATTACTATTGGTAAATATATTCCTACGTATAATAGATTTTTAGTTTAAATGTAAATGATTACATTTTAAGCTCATAATTAATGATAATATTTTCGTTTTAAATCCTGTTCAATTTATCAAGAATTTAAAATGGAATAAAATTTTTATAAACTCTTGAAATAATGATGTATGTATAAAGTCAGATTACGACAAAGAGACGAAACTTCTTATCATTCAATGTATTCACCATGCTAGGGTCGGGTCAATCATTGCAGGGAGAGGAGCTTCAACAGTGCCTGAGACTTGCGACCCAGGTGTAGGTTTATGGGACCCCTATCTAACGCGTTAAACGCTCACCTCCACTGTCCAAGCTCCTGTCTCTACCAAATTTGAAAAGAACCCACTAGGGCTACAATCGAAGTACGTTCCAAGAATGTATTAATGTGAGTTTTGGATAAGCCCAAGTCTTTTAGTAGGTTCTAGAGAGATTTAGCTGTTATACCTCTCGCTCCCACCTCTACCGTGTATAAATCAACGACGAATCTATTTCGAGGTAGTTCGTTAGTGAGCTCGTAATACTTATTGACCTTGATGGCATTGTCTTTGGGGATGTTGGTTTCCCAATGCACCGCAAGCTCTATCATCACAATTTGCTTTAACATTTAGATATAAGTTTCTTACATTATATGTAAAAGAAAACACACATTTTGTATATTTAATTTATTGAATACGGTAGAAATGTTTCGTAGTAATGGAAAACAAATATAACGAACAGACGGATCTAGGAACATATACCGACCGACAGACGTCACTTCACATTCATTTATATATATCTTATATATATGTTAACCAAAACAGTAATATTGAGTCAAAAATCACCTTTCAACGCTATTTTCTTAATGGATAGTCAATATATATGTATTTTTTTTATTGTTGTATGTATTCATATATGAAGAAGGTCAAGTGACGTCAGCGGTTTAAAATTTGGCTCCCCCTTAAAGCCAATATACAATTCATTCATAGAACTATCTCCACCGATGTGGCCATCAAAATAAAACTACATTGTATATTGTAATCTAAAAATTACCACCGTATATATAAAAAAATATTCAGACGTCCCGCGACCTGGGACCGTAGTAACAAACGGACGTCCACATCGGCAAAAATTTATATATATATATATATATGTATATAAAAAAATAATTTGACTAGACGTAACGTAAAATTACAATTTCATACACAGTCGCACTTAAATTAAGACTAGAATATTTCTTACAAATAAATAAAAAAAATTAATTATTAAACATATTTGTACCAGTTACACCTCGATAATATTAACCGGTATATATAGACCTGTATCACTATATAAATAATTAAAACAATGGAATGATTTAAATTGGAGATCAAAACATATACAGGTAGTTCAAATAAATAGTAGGTGCGACTGTATGTCTGTATGCAGCGCTGTGACCGAGTGATTATATATCTAGTGTTGTATTACTTCGTGTTAACTTATAATTAATTTGTACTGTAGTTTGTATCACCGTTGTAGTCTCCCCATCACTCGGAGCAGCGTCTCAGTAACTGAACCTCAGTGACTACATCCATTTAGTTCCAGTGAAACACCCTGTATAAACCTGGCGCCGTCATCGCGCGGGTGTTTAACTCGAACTGTTCACGCATACATATTTTTTTTTTATTTAATTTTGTTATTATTATTAAAACTTTAATATAATTTGTTGTATCGCGTCAGAGCGTCTCCGGTCCGCGCTGGGTTTGTAGTTTTTTTGAGGAAGACCTGGTGGAAGTGTGAGTGCGGGATAATCTCGTGATACTTGAGGAACTCGATAGGAACTTGGTCTAATGTAACTTTGTGAACATTATCTCCTAAGCTTTACCCTGATTAAGTCACCAGTCACGTAGTAAGGTACATCGTTCAGGCAGCCTAGGACCCAGCGCGGACCGGTCCCGCTCGGACCTCTAGTGTTCATTAAATTACTCCTTAATTACATACATAGGAACTTTCTTTAGAAGCTGCATGGTTTATACAAGCTAACCTCCACAATGATCTACCGAATAATGTTTTCATTCAAATAAACCTGTCTTCGAACGAGGCCCTTCTTTAATATACAATAATCATTTTTTTAATACATTCCTTTACGTTTTTAATGCGGTTCATGTTCTATACTGAATTCGTATATATATTTATTAGCATGCTAAGTATATGTCAACACAAGAGATGTCGTGAGTTATGGTAATTGTCCTAGGTGGTTATTTTTTTGGTAATTTCTTTTAAGCCAGTCGTGTCTGTCTCTGTGTGTGTGTGTGTGTGTGTGTGTTTGTTGTGTGTACGTGTGTGTCTGTGTGTGTGTGTGTGTCAATTGAACCGCAGTAAAAATGTGTAGGAGTGTGAGCGGTAACGTATCAGTTAATAAATATAAAACGCGAAGCTCGGCCAGTGACCTCTGGCGGAGGGGGCTGGGCCCACGACCGTCCAAACAAGACCCGTAATACATGTGTAACAACTGAAACTACCGGCCGAGCCGACGAGCACGTATCTAATCAATATTTATACTAAGGTTACGATTAATGTTGATCACTGCCCGATAGTACGTATCTTTGTGCTTAAGTCACTCCTAAACAACAATATATATATATTATATATATAGTAGCTAAACACGCGGTCTCCGTCCGCGGCGAAGAACAACATTTGTACTTTAGTGTAACTCCAAAATATATGAATATAACAACAGCTTACGAGATCTAAGGTGAGGTAGAGCGGTTCCCGCAGGAGGGCTGACAGAGAGGCCTCTGACGACCA